AGATTAATACTCTGTTCTTGTTGAGTTTAGTTGGTACCTTAGAAGAAGTTTAATAAAGTTATGTTTTTGCCAATAATTGCCTGTTGTCATCATTAATGTATGCTCAATAGCTGATAATACTTAAAATTTTACTTTAACACTTGAGTTGCTTCAAGTACTCTATTTTGCATTATTTGTTTAGATCAACAACCATTTGGAAAATATTTAGGGCTTCCTCTACTGTTGAAGGGCAGTTTAAACCCGCTGTGTCCAAAATGTACTCAAAATATTCTCGGTAAAGAATCACATCTTCATCTTCACTTTCCTGTTCACAATGTTGATCCATTTCTGATGCCTCTTGTTCAGATACTTGAACTAAGCAATCTTCTAGGCTATAATACTCTGGCAAGAAGTACATTACATCTGGAATACCTGTAATTGTGCTGTGTACTGACTTAGGTCGCGGTCAGATTAGCGCTAGTACTTTGCTTTTAGCGAGCTTGCTTATGACGTCACCCAAGCATTCGCTTGAAATTTGAGTAAGCATTGAATAAGCATAGATTGGTCAGACACAAAAATAGTAGCATTGCTTGAATTCAGGTGATATGATCAGTCAACCAATCAATCATCTTACGAAACCCTTATAGCCATAAAAGCTCACCATGATGGAAATCGAAGAGATTTTTTTCTTGCTGTGGGCTATCTACTTTCGCTTTGCGGCAAGACGAAGGGTGATTGCTTTACGGAGACGACGGCGAAGAATTTTTACCTTATTCCAACAGATTCTTCAAAACAGATTTTTGATTTTGCGAATGAATACGATGACGCTGGCTTTGTTGATATGCGATCATTTTCAGAGCAGAATGGCTCGCTTTGATCGAGTATGGAGTCTTCGTAGACCAAACYTTGGCTGGTTTGAAGTTATTCTCTTCGATAACAGTCAGTCAAGATATTGGAAGGAACATTTTAGAATGAGCAAGAGAACATTTATGGAACTGGTAAATCTGGTAAGCCCGTACATAAGTAGAAGAAACACAAGACTACGGGAAGCTGTCTCTACCCCGAAACGCGTAGCTATTGCTTTGTGGCGTCTTGCGACAGGGAACAGCTTTCGCAGTATTGGGACACACTTCGATGTAGGAAAATCAACCTGTGTGACGATAACTAAAGAATTTTGCGAGGCTCTGATACGATTTCAACGTCGTTTTATTAAACTACCTGTGAACTKCCGTGACACTGCAAGAGCCATTGCCTTATTTCAAGATCATTGCAGAATTCCGCAAGCTATAGGTGCGATCGATGGTACACACATAGAAATACTTGCTCCAGAAGATCCATTTGATTATTTTGATCGCCAGCATCGGTACAGCATTATTATAGTTGGCGAAAATTTGATGTCTTTGGACACCGAGATTGGATTTCCCGGAAGCATGCATGACGCAAGGTCCTACGAAACTCTGAAATATTTCCAAACGCTGAGCATAATGGAGTCCTTAAAGAGCCAGTCATCGTCAAAAATGGCATAGAGATTAGGCCTTTACTGCTTGGRGATGRGGCTTATCCTCTTTTACCCTGGCTATTGAAGCCATATCCAAATAATGTCAACCTTACCCCACAGAAGCAAGCTTTSAATAGAACTCTCTCTTCTGCTCGATCAACTGTAGAGCGCGCGTTTGGTTCACTGAAAGGGCGCTGGAGAATTTTACTAAAGAGGCTAGACAATCGCTTTGTAAATGTTCCTACAGTCGTCTATGCGTGTTGCATTCTGCATAACTTTTGCCAGCAAGCAGGCGAAGAATTCGATGACCAGGAAGTTTTGCGAAGGGTCATTGAAATCGAACGAAGGTATTTACGAGCGCGGCGGCTTGGGCAGCAAGCAAATCAAAACCCTGCTGGACAAATGGTTCGTGAACAAATAGAAATTGACTTGTAACTATATTTAAATCACAATCATATGTTTTAATTGTTTTTGTTTGGTAGGATATATTGATCATTTTGTACGAGTGCGCAATGACACTTTTCACTTACAATACCAAAATAAAATCGATAATTGTTTATATCATATCATACTACATGTAGTTCATATTATCTCTATGAAAATATTGCCTAGTACATTTCTTAACAAAACAAAATTGTTTACATATTTGTTTATATATTTCACGAAACAACAATTATAATTCTTCATTTCTTCTCGTAAGTAAAATATATGAGCGTCCATCCGGGGCGTCCATCTACTTCTTATAATATGAATAATAAGTTCACTTTTGAAGTACCTGAGCCATACGCAGGAAAAATTCTTGATCCTTTCGTCTGGAGTCTTCATCTAACTTTCTCTGCTCAATTTCAAATTTCATCATGAGCTCTTCTGCTCTTGTTTGAGACCTTCCCATTGCCTCCATCTGAGTGTTCTGAATTTCCAACATCTTTTCTGTTAAATTTGAGAAAGAATCTTGAATGCTAGCTTTTCCCTTCCTAGCTTTCTTTTTGGTTGATGAAGACTTGGAAGATGACTTTCTCTTCTTCGCTTCATCATTTGTAGTATCGTCGTTATCTTCATCTGACTCGTCATCCGAGTCTCTCGACGATGTTGTGCTTTTATTGCTTGGCGATCCACTACTAGCACCACTATTAGATCTAATCACTYCAGGCATCGTAACTACTGGCCGTGATCATAAAATTTCGTCGAACATTTCGAAAT